CCATTGAGTGGAATATTATGCCGCTATAAATTAGAATGCATAAACTTTATGGGCTCACACAAAATTATCCACAGAATAAATTAAGGTCAAAATGTTCATAAAAGTTGTACATTATTATGCTCCACTACTTTATAAATGTTTTCTTAAAAAAAAAAAAAAAAAAAGCCAAAGTGGGCCTCCCTGGTGGCACAAGTGGTTAAGACACAACCTATGAAGCTATCCACAGCAGCCACCACAGCACGAGTTCAATCCCTGGCCAATAAGGGAGCTACCCACATGGCACAGCAGACCTCTCCTGACTCAGCCACTGCTCCCCTCAGCAGTGTATTTCAGTCAGTCTGCCTGTTCTGTTCCCCACTCTGTCTCTGGTGAATCCACTCACCTCCACATTATCTCTGGCCTGTACCCCAGCTCTTGTATGCATAAATAAATAAATCTTCAAAAAAAAAAAAAAAGCCAAAGCACATGTATATATTTACTTAACATATCTCTAACAGGCAAGGAACTTGTAGTACCAATACATTATATCCAGGAAAAACTGGATATGGCTGTGAAAATAAAAAATTTATAAATATCAGAGTTTGTATCTTGTAAACATACAACCTACTCAAAACATAATATTAAATCAGTTAAGTCTTAAAATTTACAAAGAAATATTCCACATAAGTTATATGATTCCATTTAAAGGAAATGTCCAGAAGAGAATTATTTATGAAAACAGAAAATAAATTCATGGCTACTAGGAAAGGTGGAATGAGATCGTTGGAATAACTGCTAATGTTTATGGGTTTTCTTTGGGGATTGATGGAAATATTCAGGAACTAAAAATCACCGAAGTTATATTCTTTTAAAAGGTGAATTTTATGTTGTGTAAATGATATCTCAATAAAGTTATAAAGACAGTATTCTGTCTGCCCACCTGTGCCTATGCAGGTGCTTCTTTTCACCAACTCTCTCCTCTGCAGGGCAGCAGCCTCCTGCCTGCCCGTGATCTGTACCTGCCGGGACTTCTCCTCACTGGCCTCCCTCAGCGGAGGCCGCTCTCCTCAAGGCCGCCCGCCTGCAACCACGCAGGCCTCTCTCAGCAAAACTGTCCCTTTCTGGGCAGCTCCTCCTGCCCATTTGTGTCTACACAAGAATCTTTTACTAATACTTCTGTCCCTTTCCCTAATAAACCTCCCCTTTAAATATAAAAATTATAAAAAAGATCTCAAAATTGTTAAATTCCACTGATGTGCTAAATTTCCTAAGTATCCCACATAATATTATAATCATCTCCAATTAGTTTTTATACAGGAAAGGGAGGTGCAATATTCCTGTGTAAATCAGTTGGTAATTTTGATTAATCAAATACAGCCACTTATTGATGTTCTTCATTTTAATTAAAGTTTGATTTTACCTTTCACCAGAGCTACTGACAAACAGCAAAATCACATCTGATTTTTACTACTCATACAGAACTGGCCAGAAGAACCCTGACAAAAGCTCCAAACTTTCAAAATATTCATTAGTCCAAGGATAAGAGATACTTTAAAAATTAAGACTTCAAAAGGTTGGGGCCTCCCTGGTGGCTCAGGGGTTAATTCTCAGCACTATCAAGCTGTGGTCAGCCACTGCAGCATGAGTTTGATCACTGTCCATGGAGCTGACCCGCAGGGCGCATCAGACTTCTCTTGTCTGGCCCTGAGCAGTGTATTTCAGCAGATATGCCCGTTCTGTTCCCCACTCTGTCTCTGGTGAATCCTCTCACCCCCAGCACCTCTGGCCTACACCCCAGTTCTTGTATGCATAAATAAATAAAAATAAATCTTTAAAAAAAAAAAAAAAGACTTCAAAAGGTTGACTATTGGGGCCTCCCCGGTGGCGCAGCGGTTGAGCATTGGGTTGCGAAGCTGCCTGCAGCCTCTGCGGCGCCGGTTCGATCCTCGGCTGCTCCCCGGCCACCAGAGGAGGGTCCCACATGGCGCGCAGACCTCTCCTGCCGCCCGCTGCTCCCCTCAGCAGTGTACTTCGGTCCTTCTGCCTGCTCTGCTCCCTGCTCTGGCTCTGGTGAATTCTCTCACCCTCCCGCGCTTCTGACTGTACCCAGTGCATGTATAAACAAAACAAATAAATAAATAAATAAAACATGCCTCTATTTAAAAAAAAAAAAAAAAAAAGGTTGACTATTATTTCCTAGTATGGCTAGATATAAAAATAGCCATTTTCTAAGACTACAGCACTGATATCCAGAAATAAACAATCTCTGATTTCAAGTTTATTTTTAAAAGACAGATCAAATTTAGGGTGGTTATTTTCAAATGCTTTCTTAGTTTCAAGGTAATTAAGTTTTACTGATTTCCTAAGACTAAAAAGTATAGGTAACATTCTATCAGAGGTGGATAAGAAAAAGTAAACAGACCTCTACAGTGGTGTGTAACTAAAACAATACAAACTCCTAATTTTGTATATAGTCCATAAAAGTTCAACGTTTTGTTACAAATCACCAACTACTTTTATGTTCATAAAAGAATCTTTTATGTAAAAGATACTTAAGTGCATTTAAATGTGACTAAGAAGGTAAAGCACTACCTGAAACAAATATATTAAAAGTTTCAGAAGTTCAAAACATTTTCTGTAATATAATAATTATAATTTTTAGATGACTATAAGTAAAACTAAGGCACAGAAGTTTTAACCAAAGTTATAAAAATTATAATCTTTTAGAAATTAATCTATGAAGTATCAAAGACTCAAGTGACAGAAAAACCAGTGTAGTATTTTAGACTGCAATTGAAGTAAATTTTAGAATAGTTTCATATATACACATTTCAAATTTTTCTTTTGCCAAAACAAAAAAATTAAGTGCAAGAAATTCAGATGGCCCCATTTAAATGCTGTACACAGGTATCTGATTTTTCAATTAAAGGTGAAAATGTAAGCAGACAGGGAAAAGTCAGAACGTTCACATTTATGATTTGTCTGAGCTCTAGAAAATGCCAATCAAGTTATTAATGAGTTGAGCAAAACGCATAAAACCAAAGACCTAATTTATGACCAAAACAATATGTATCTTGAGTAATATACTGCTATCGGTTTAGGAACAAAAACTCAAATTTTTTTTAAAGATTTATTTATTTATTTATTTATACAAGAACCGGGGTACAGGCCAGATGTGCGGGAGGGTGAGAGGATTCACCAGAGACAGAGCGGGGAACAGAACAGGCAGACTGACTGAAATACACTGCTGAGGGGAGCAGCGGGTGAGACAGGAGAGGTCTGCCGTGCCACGTGGGACCCTCGCTAGCCGCCTAGGATGGAACCAGCGCTGCAGAGGCTGCGGACAGCTTCACAGCGCTGCGCTCAACCACCTGCGCCACCAGGGGAGGCCCTCAAATTCTTATATATAATTTCTTTAAGCATATACTATATACTTAAAGCATATGCTTCTGGGATACTATACCGGACTTTCTAATCAAAGTGTAGTCAATTCAGCGTATTCAGATGCTTCACACACGTGTCATTCTATAATCTGATAGAACTTCAACCAACTGCAAAAATCAAATGTACTTTTAGCAAAAGCTGGGCCACTCACAAAGAAATAAATCTTCTTCTAGCAAGATCCTTAAAATACTGTATTTGGCCCTCTAAAAGCTTTAAGAAAGATCACAGTTTGCACATATACATTGGCAGACACATACATTCAAGTCACATATTCAGCTTTTCAAGCATTTACCTACATACATTAACTAAAATAAAGAGCAGGGGAAACCAAGTTTAGTTGTGGCTGGGAAATAATCTAACATTTTGAAAACGTCACATTAGAAAGCACATACACACACACCCCAGCTTTCACAGAAAAGTTCTCAGGTAATATGACAAATTCCATAATTTGCTACAATTTCACAGCTCCTACTTCAAACATCTATTCGCACCAGTGACCAATTGAAGAAACTTTTACTAAAGTGATGACCCTCATAAAACTTTAAAAATATACTAGTTTTACTAAGTAATTACCTAATTCAATTAGTTCAGTGACATACTGTGCTCCCTCCCCCCCCCAAAAAAAAAAAATCCCAATCAGGGGACTCCCTTAAGGTGCAGGTGGTTGAGTGCAGCACTGTGAAGCTGTCTGCAGCCTCTGCAGCATGGGTTCGATACCAGCCAGCCAGGGAGCTACCCACATGGCGCAATGGACCTCTCCTGTCTTGTCCGGGTCTCCCCTCTGCAGTGTGTTTGGGTCAGTCTGCCTGTTCTGTTCCTCGCTCTGTCTCTGGTGAATCCTCTCACCCACCCGCACATATGGCCTGTACCCCCAGTTCTTGTATAAATAAATCTTTTTTAAAAACCCACCCAAATCAATATCTTTACTTTAAAAACACGAAATAATCAATTATGATCAATCCTTTCTGAATGTTTCCAAAATTGCTAAAAAAAAAAAACCCATAACCTTTCATAAAACAAATGCATTACTGTAAGGTAGGCACCAAGACAAACGTTTGTGCCTTAATATATTTAAATTAAACTAATGTTTCTGAAACTTAAAATTGTAACAGGGTCTAATTTCCATACTTCCCAATGTACAATGGGCCTAGAAATTTGAAAATTCTTCAGAAAAACAGAATATGTATATAATCAGCAGCAATGGTAGCAAAGTGTAGCACAACCAACTACCTGCTCTTAATCTTCAATAGGTTAATTTTACTAATTAAATAAAAGGTACTTGTTATTTATTATTAGTAAGCACGCACTTCGAGCCAAACAATAACCCTGGGCATTTTACATCACTACAAATATTTCAAATATTACCTGAAATGTTTTAGGTTTCAACCGCTTGCAATTGCATTTGCTTAAAACAGTACTGCCTCTTTCTCTCACCAGATAACATTTATTATTGGCTTGGGAAGCATTTTCAATGTCTAGCCCTTAAAACTCAGGGCGAGCAAGCTCTCAGGTCCCTGCAATTGCAGAAGTAGAATTTGAAGAGCTTTTATGCAGAAATTAACTGTAATCAAAGAGCCATGCTGCCTAGGAGTATGGCACGATACCCAGAATCCTGAATTACCTCAAGTCCCAAGCACGTGTTTTCAGTTCACTGAACTCAACCCACTCAACCCACACAAACGCTGACAACAACTCTTTGGCGGCAAGACGCACTAGCGCTTATCCCATACCCTCGGAAGCGAAAAAGCCTCCTGCCAGGCCCGGGAAGAAGCGGGCGCCGTCGACTATCCAGGGCCCACACACTCTCCGCTTCCCAAGCGCAGCGGCCAACTGGCCGAGACCACGTGAAAAAAAGCCGCAAGGAAAGCTCTTCCGGGGAAGAGGAGCCCGACAGATCACGTGCCGCCGGCCGGAACCCGCCGATCACCCGGCCGGGTCCAGCCGCATTCGGTTACCGTGGAGACAACTGAACCTGCCACCGGCCCTCCCCGGCCAGCCCCCTTCCCAGCAGCCGTCACGCCGCCTCCAGGCACTTCCCTGCAGCCAGCCGCGGCGTCGTGCCCCGGGCGAGGAGGCAGCGCAGTCGGCGTTTGCCAGGAGCTGCGCCGCGAAAGCCTGGCAAGCTCTGCTCACTCGCGCGGGCCGCGCTCGGTGGGTTCAGGTGTTCTCCTGATCCACGTGTCTGCTCGGGCGACGCGAGCCCTGCGAGAACGTTCTTCCCTTTGAAGAAGCCGTACTTCGGCTACTCACATTGTTCTGCCACCAGGTTAACCGCTCCGTTCAGGCTCCCTCCAGCCCGCCCTGAATCCCCACCCTCTCCACCTCACACATCACCAGGAGAGCCCAGAGGTTCCAAAGGTAAAGCAAAAACCTTCCAGCAACACACCAGCACTTTCCATTCTCAAGCCAACTCGCAAGGGTCCCTCACTTCTCCATATTCTTCACACACAAGCTCAATTTCGCCACCCGGTACTAGGAGCGACTTCATGACGTCCCAGACCCACCTACCACCGAGGGCAGTGACCTACTTGGCAACTGAGCAGAAGCGAAGGGCCTCACAAGCAGACAACTAGTAAAAGGTTGCTCTGCAGCGAGAAAAAGAAAATAACACCTGCTCTTCCCACCTGTTTCCCCGCCCTCACCGCTGCACTTGAGAACCACCAGTCTTTTGTTTACCAAGTTCCCACTCCCGTGCAGTTCACTTCCTCGCCCTGCTGCTTTATTCAACGCGCGGTTCTGCCTCAACCAACTTGCCCGGAAATTCCGAGCGAGAAGAGACGTTTGTACAGGTGTCAAGTGAAGCGCTGCACACAGCTCACTAGAAAGGCGACGCCTGCCCCGTTTCCCTGGGAGTTTGGGAACCCCGAGACCTGAACTCGGACACACAAAGCACCCCAGCACCGCCTGCGACCCGCGGCCCCGCGCCCGGCCGGCAGCACCACGCGGATCGTACCATGCGGCGCGGGCCCCACGCACTCGAGGGCAGGGCAGCGCCGGAGACGCTTCTCACCCCGCCCGCCTCGTGGCCGCGCGCTGGCGTCGATGCTCCCGGCCCGCCGGCCGCGCGACGCGGAAGTGAGGCCGGGGGCGCGCGCAAGGTGACATGCGCAGGCTCGCTCCGGGGCCCAGGCGCGCGCGCCAAAGGCCGCCCCGCGCCAGGCCCGGCCTGGCCGGGGCGTGCGAAGATCGCTCGGCGGAACGCTCCTCACGCCGCTCAGATCCACAAGAGCTTCAAACTCTCGAAAAACTCCAATCGGGCCGGCACTAAAGCGACGCCCCCCACCCACGCCCGAGAGTTACCGTGCGGGGCGTGGCCGGCCTCACCCGGAGTCCTTCACATCCCGCCGGGGGCGGGTTATTCTGCGCGTTTCGCACACCGTGTGTCCGCTCCAGCTGAAGAGCCTGCGCGCGCACCGGGCGTCCACGTCACCGCGCACGCGCTCCAACCCGCTCGGAGCCCGCCGCGCAGGCGCAAGAGGAGGCGCGAGCAGCACCTCCCTCGCCCCTCCCCCAACACCAGGAGGCCAAACGGCCCCAGAGCAGCGACAAGACCCTTGGGACCCGCCCCTGGAGCTGAAGCCGCCGCCTTTCCGGGTCCCAGCGGCCGAGAAAAGCCTGCTGAAGGTTCCAGAGTCAAGAAAAGCGGAGCAGAAGGGAAGCACCCATCAATTCCCTCGGCCTCACACACGAAGCCGTCGTGAAAACTGCGAAAGCAACGCCAGCGGGCTCGCTCCAGCGCGCCTTCCCCGGCTTCCCCGGGCTCCCCGCCGGCCCCGCCTCTGCCGCGCCCAGCCCCACCCACACGGGGCTCCTCAGCCCCCGGTGCCGCACCGCCCGGCCGACGGAGTCGAGATCGTCCTCCCCCGCGTGCCGAGGGCTGGACAGCGCCCGGACGTCGGGAAGCCTTGGAAGACCGTGGGAGACGGTGATCGAGTCTGCACTACCCCCAGCCGAAGCATGCTAGGAAGGAGACCGCAAACCTCACTCCCCAGTAGGAAGGGAAGAAGAGTTGCTGTTAACTCGCCAGATACAAAGATGAAAGAGGTCCTGGGGAAACAGTAAAACGTGGAAACGAGAATGTTGCACAATAGGAAGTATTATCTCAGCTTTAGTGCTTTGTGCTTGTGTACTCTATTTTTATTTGATCAAGATATTTAAACTGTGAGGTACACAGAAAAAAAAAATCACCTAATATCTTTGTTATATGTAAGGTTGAACTAGGAGCGTATTTCTCCCAACCAAACCATCCAAAATTACCTTTCTTCTTCCCTGCCCCTTACCAGCCACTCTTTCTTCTCTGCTGCCAACACTCCAGTTTAAAGTGAGAGAAAAGAGGTAGATCAAAAGTAGTAAGAGAAGAGAAATTGTGGGCCATCTTTCCAAATTGTTTTTTCACTCTCAGAATTACTGAAAACCTACTACATGTTAGATGGCTTTTGTACAGAACGCTAGGAAGGAGGAGAATGAGATTAAGAGTCAACAAGAGGAGGCTTACAGAAGCTGATGTGAGCGTGGCTCCAGGCATGCTAGGAAGGGTCTTCTTTCTCCTAATTCTGCTCTTCCTGAGGAAATATCTGTCACCATGAGGAGAAGATGAGCTGGAACTAGTAAAGCTGGGAAATTCGTAGGCTAAAGTTTGCAGACTTCTGTAAATCGCTCTGAAACCCTCATCCAGGCACTGCCAACAGGAGCATCACCAGTGCAACAATCGAGTAATCCCCAAGGTCCTAGGTTAAACTGAAAACTAACAGTTTCTTCGACTCCTTCCTCCTCTCCCCTGACCCTAAGAACCTCTCTCCTGGAAAATGTTTGTTCCGAATCTCCCACTTCAAGAATGCCTTCATCTCAAAGATATTACAGATTCCTCACACCAGATTTCCATTTTTTGAGGCAGGAATAAAATTCGTGTTGACTTAGCATGAAGGCATCTGAGCCTAAGATGTGAATGCTGACTGGTTAACCGTCACATTCACAGTGGCAACTGCATCCCAAATGAGACAAGTTAAACGTTGGCTCTCTAACTGGGAAATAGGTGCGGACCTATCAATGGCCCAGTTTTGGTTTTACATCATACTAGCACCAAGTAACTACCTTTTCTCTCACTCTTTCAATTAATCTCTTAGTGGTAACATTGCTTTTAATGCAACTTCACAAACTGGGGTTCTTGGTTGTATTCTTTGCTTATATGAGAACTTCTTTAAAAGGCATCCTAAAATAACTCAGATTTTCAGAAGGCCAAGCAAACTAACTTGTAGAACTGATGCTCCTGAATTCTACCTTACTATTGGAATTCTCCCTAACAATTTCAGTTATTCTACCTCACTGGTCCAGCTAACACAATCTTTCCTCTTGATTTTCTGTGGTTCAACTTTCACATTAAGTTTACTAAATGTTAGTGAGGTGGTGACCAAGAATGCATGGAATATTAAAATATCTAGCCTGAAAAGTATAGATTTGTTCCAAGATTGCTCTGTAAATACAAAGGTCCTGTTCCACTTATATGCATATTTTTCATATGTAACAAATATTCCATTGCCGCAAATAGGCTGAGGATAGGGAAGACTTGCCCCTTATGCACTGTTCCCATGTTTATACTAGAACTCCAAAGAGTTGGCACATCTTAACAGAATCCACCCCCAAGACAAACTATATTCCTTATCCAGTCTATTCAGATTCCACTTTCTCAGTTCCAGATTCTACTGAAGACATCTCTCTCTCAAGTAACTAAAAGAGAAAATGAAGCCATCACCACCACCCAAAAAACCCTGGGTTGTGGTCTTGTTTTATATTATCTTCATTTAATACAATAAAGACCATTCTTAGACTAAGAGCTACATATAGACTGTGTTACAAAACAGGTTTTTTTAAAAAAAATAATAAAAAGTCCTGCACTAGCCATAAAAACTTGTGTTCTTGGCAAAGATGGATAAAAGAGGGACTCATACAAGACTTACACAAAGTCCAATCTTACCCTCCTTTTAGTGATGCCACTAAAACCAACTCATACTTAGGGGCAAAGTATGATTGGCTCCCATATCTGAAACCTGAACTTAAGTCATTACAAGTGGCAAAAGTACTGCCCTCAAGGAGTTAATAATTTACCCAGTGACAAACGGTTCTTAATCAGCATAGTGATGTGATTAAAAGCATGTTTTAGAAAATGTTAAGAAAAGGATGGAAAAGAGGAGAGACGTGATGGAATGTTACCAAAGTTGATTAAGAAACATCTCCTTGTGATGCCCCATACCTCAAGCCTAAACAATCATGTTCCTTACCCTTTGCCTAAGAAGATCTTCCCAAATTCTCCAAATCTAATTTCTGTTCAACCCATATGCCTAATCTGAAAAGTCACTTTTTCAAGAAACTTTCCTTAACCCCTAAGATTAGTTAATGTCTTCCAGCTTGCTATATGCTTTCACAGTACCCTATATTTCTTTATAACCCCTACCACAACTGTAATTATTTTCAAAACTATATATTAATGTATAGTCTTGCCCACTAGGACTGTTAGCTCCACTCTATCCAGTGCCTAGCACAATGCCTGGAACAGAATACACAAAATTTGTTGAACAAATGACTACATAACCATAGTTCCTGGTTTCCAAGCAAGTCCAACTACAAAATACTCATTTAATGTCCCACAATTTGGGGTTGCAGGGTTGAAATACATTTGGCCATACTCAAGTTTTAAATAAATATACTGCTTTGGCTATTAACATTTCCAAAGGACTACAGTTCTAGTTAGAAAAACTAGTATCCATTAACTCTTATCCCAAATTATTTCTCCTTAGAGAAATGGAAAAATATTATTGACAAGGCTTATGCTTGAAGAAATAAGACTTTTTCTAGGAAGTCTAATTACTTATTGACTGCCCTTCGCACGAATAACTTTTGACTATTACCTAGAAAATCAACAAAAGCAAACAGATCCTTAGCGTTGTAACAAGTGTTATGACTACAATTTTAGCATCTGATAACAGAAGCAACAAACTGTAACAAAGACCACCATCTGCATATACTCATCTACTACAAGAAAAATATAGTAAATATCTCCAAGATAAAAGAACATAAATGATGTTCAGAAAACTATTTTCAGAAGGATTACAAAATAAAAAAACAAGAGGTCTAAAAGACTCAACAAAAGTTTTCAGTATACTTGTTAGGGAAAAAAGGATGTCCTAAAGCTAATTCCATACAGGCTTTGTGGACTCCACCCCCCACCCCAGGCCAAACCCAAAGACACCGGGAACTCCAAATCCCATCACCACCAAAGGGAAGGTGGCTGGGACCTGAGGGTGGGGTTAAGCAGCCAAGTTGGTATAAAGGCAGACACCTGGGCTTTGGGGGGGTCCCCCATTTTGGCTCTCCACCAGCTAGCAACGTTCTGCCAGCTCTGAGAGTGACTTTGGGTTTCCAGGGATCGGATAGGACGCATTAAAGACTTTATTTCCCTATTTTCTCCCTGAGTTGTACATTTTCCTTCTTTCCTTTTCCCTTGTAAATAAACCTTTTATTAACCTTTTGTGTGTGCCTGTAGTGGAGTATTAGTAAGTCCCTTTTAAGCACGCGGGTGAGGACCCACAGCCAGGAACCCATTCAATATCGGGGCTGTCCTATAACATACTTACTGTTAGGGGGAAGTGATGTCCTGAGTTAATCCCACACAGGCTTTGTGGACCCCACCCCCACTCCAGACTAAAGCCATCAAGACATTGGGAAAGACAAATCCCATTACCACCAAAGGGAGGGTGGCTGGGACCTGAGGGTGGAGTTGGGTAGCCAGGTTGGATATAAAAACCAAACACGTGGGCCTTGGCCTCTCTCTGGCTCGTGATCGCTCGCCTCCTGGCTTCACCGCTCCTGGCTGGCAGCCAACTCTGAGAGCGCCATTTTGGGATTCCTGATCGGCGGATCGGGTAGGACTCATTTAAAACTTTGTCTCCCACTTTTCTCCCAGAGCTGTACATTTCCTCATTTCCCCTTCCCTTGTAAATAAACCTTTTATTAACCTTTCGCGTGTGCCTGCAGTACAGCATTGATAAGTCCTTTTAAGCGCGCGGGTGAGGACCCACAGTCAGGCACCCTGTTTTGTATCGGGGTTGCTCTACAACATTACTACTAAGCCCTTAGGACAAAGTCTTAGAAAGCAAAAAAAGGAAGAACAGAGAGTCTACAGTTGCACAGAGGTTTTAAACACACATGAGAACATACACAAACAGGAACTAGTGCTATTGGCCAAAGAAGAGGACTGGGAGACAGCAAGTGAACTGCAAGACTGACATCAGGCAAAAATCAAGAAGCCCAGGACAGAAAAATATACTGAGAACGGTCTGCAAATGCATGTGAAAGAAAGCACGCTTGCCTTACATAGAGAACACCGCTGCCTCACAAGAGGGCAATGGTGGCCAACGAAGTGGTTGCCGAACTACTGGGATGTCACAAACCAGTAAAATTCCCCCCAAAAAAGATTTAGATGACCATTATATGACAACCAATTTTTTATCTTACAAAGCACACCACCTTCTAGTACCATTCTTGATATTTTAAGACTAAAAATCTAGGGAGAATATATAAAGATTAAGTCTTTTATTTTGAATACATTTAGATGAAAACTTAGATTATCCCTATTTCAAGACATGTCACTGGTAACTGTACAGCAGGGCAGCTCTCCTCCCAAGACTGCCTGCCTGTGACTATGTAGGCGCCTCTCTTTTTTCCTTTTTTTTCCTTTTTTCCTCCTCCTATTCCTATTTAGAAATGACTGCTAGCCAATTTAGCAGACTCTTTGGATATCAGGAGAAAAGAAAGTTAGCCAGGAGACATCACAATCCAGACTAAAAGATTGTCACATAATGGCAAGTAACAATTAGTATGGGGAGGCGGGGGTATATACTGAAAACAGGATGATTCCTATAACTTTAGAACTACATGAGAACAATGCAGTGAAACCAAAAACCAAGATCAGACTGAGATTAGAACCCCATCACTGTATACTTAAGAAAAATTGCGGGGCACATGTAATGGTGGAAGAGGCAGGTCAAACTACATTTAGTTTAAGCTGG